CGTGAACCCAGGAGGCGGCACTTGCAGTGAGCCGAGATTGCACCACTGCACGCCAGCCTGGGCGACAGAGCGAGACTCCGTCTCAAAAAAAAAAAAAAAAAAGAGAAAAAGCTGGGCATAGTGGCACATTTCAGTTGTCTTAGTTGGCTCAAATAAGAATTATACCTGGGGATACTCCAAAGTTTAAATATGGTACCCCCTATAGTATTATGACAAATTACTGTACATAAAACAGGTTGTCTTCCTTTAACTCTGAAAATCATATTATCTTCCCTAAATTCTCCATAACGCATCGCTCTGCAGTATCCTATAGTGGATGTAGGTTTCCTGACCAATGAGCACTAAAATTAAGTGTGTGCGACTCACCTGTGTTCTTTTCAAAATGGAAATCCCCGAATCCCACCAGTTAGAATAACATGGCAGAATGTCAGCTTTTTGGAATCTATGAGTTTTTTGTAAGGTTATTAGGTTATTGATTCCATTTTATTAATAGATATATTTAGATGACCTATTTCTCCTGTGTTTTAGTATTAATAGATTGTGTCTTTTAATTCATCCACTTGGTCTAAGTTACCAAGTTTGTGGGTTATGGACATTGTAATATTCTTTATTACTTTCTCATCCATGGGCTGTCTAATACAAAGGCCTCTTTTAATTCTTATATTTTTAGGTTGGTGCAAAAGTAATTGTAGTTTTGGACCATGAATTTTAAATTTTTATAACTAGGCTGCAGCACATCTTTATTAATCAAAATAGAACCCATTACAATGGCGCAGTGGCTCACGCCTGTAATCCCAGCACTTTGGGAGGCTGAGGCGGGCAGATCAGGAATTCAGGAGTTTGAGACCAGCCTGACCAACATGGTGAAATCCCGTCTCTACTAAAAATACAAAAATTAGCCGGGGTGGTGGCATGTGCCTGTAATCCCAGCTACTCAAGAGGCTGAGGCAGGAGAATCTCTTGAACCCAGGAGGCAGAGGTTGCAGTGAGCCGAGATTGCGCTTTTGCACTCTGGCCTGGGTGACAGAGTGAGACTCTGTCTAAAAAAAAAAAAAAAAAAAAAATAATGAACAAATTTTTGCCAATGAGAAATAAACTTGTTTATTCCATGCTTTCACTGTTCGATGAACTCTTGGAAAGCGTTTTCTGCATCCTGCTGATTGTGTAAGTGTTTTCCCTGCAAAAAGTTGTCAAGATGCTTAAATGGTAGTTGGTTGGCGAGAGGTCAGATGAATATGGCAGCTGAGGCAAAACTTCATAGCCCAGTTTATTCAACTTTTGAAGCCCTGGTTGTGTGATGTGTGGTCAGGCGTTGTGGAGAACTGGGCCTTTCCTGTTGACCAGTGCCGGCTCCAGGTGCTGCAGTTTTCCGTGCGTCTCATCGAACGACTTGGCATACTTCTCAGATGTAATGATTTCACCAGGATTCAAAAACTGTAGTGGATCGGAAGACCGGCAGCTGACCACCACACAGTGACCATGACCTTTTTTTGGTGCAAGTTTGACTTTGGGAAGTGGTTTGGAGCTGCTTCTCAGTCCAACCACTGAGCTGGCTGTTGTATGAAATCCACTTTTCGTGGCATGTCACAATCTGCTCAAGAAATGGTTCATTGTTGTTTCATAGAATAAGAGAAGATGACACTTCAAAAGGACGCATTTTAAAATATTTGGTCAGCTCATGAGGCACCCACTTATCAAGCTTTTTCAACTTTCCAGTTGACTTCAAATGCCAGATGACCATAGAAGGGTCAACATTCATCAGTTCTTTGCCAACTTCTCGTGTGGCTGTAAGAGGATCGAATTCAGTGGTTGCTCTCAATTGGTTGTTATCAACTTCCGGTGGCTGCCCACTACGCTCCTCATCTTCAAGGCTCTCGCCTCCTTTGCAAAACTTCTTGAACCACCGCGCTGTACATTAGTTAGCAGTTCCTGGGCCAAATGTGTTGATGTTGTGAGTTGTCTCCCCTGCTTTAGGACCCATTTTGAACTCAAATAAGAAAGTCGCTTGCATTTGCTTTTTGTCTGATATCATTTCCATAGTCTAAAATAAATAAGTAATAAGTCATTAGCAAAAAAAAAAAAAAGAAAAAGGCAAGAAATGCCCATTAAAATGATGAATAACATAACCACATTTATTTAAGAGGGTATTCCAGTATCAAACAGCACATTCCAAGAATGCAAAAACTGCCATTACTTTTGTACTCACCTTATAGTAATTTGTGTGATTTCTTTTTTTCTTTGTTAGCCTGGCTTGATAGTGACCAATTTTGTTGATCTTTATGAAGAAACAGCTATTGTTCTATTGAGTTCTTCTGTTGATTTTCTGTTTTCATTGCCATTGACTTGTCATCTTGTTTTTATATCTTTTGAGTGAATTTGGCTTATATTGTTCTTTTTCTTTTTCTTTTTTTTTTTTTTTTTGGACTTAGTCTCGCTCTTTCGCCCAGGTGACCTCGCGCTCTCAAACAAGGTCAGGAGATCGAGACCATCCTGTCTAACACGGTGAAACCCCGTCTCTACTAAAAATATAAAAACTTATCTGGGCGTGGTGGCAGGTGCCTGTAGTCCCAGCTACTCAGGAGCCTGAGGCAGGAGAATAGCGTGAACCCAGGAGTTGGAAATTGCAGTGAGTCGAGATCGTGCCACTGCACTCCAGCATGGGTGACAGAGCAAGATTCCGTCTCAAGACAAAAAAAAAACATATTCG